GTTATTGGGGTGCTGGATGATGGAATTGTTTGTGTGAGTGCTGGATTGATGTGTGTGGGGGGAGGAGGATTTTTTACTTTATGTATATTTTTATTTTATCCCACTCATAGCTTCTTACCTTCTCAGGGAGGGGGGAGATCACCTGGTGGTCCGGTGGAGGGAGCCAGCCGCTGCACAGAGGGGCCATCACACGCTGTGTTCCCTCTCCAGCTCTAACTCTCGCGAGACTCGCCTGTGCGGAGCGTTGCCATGGTAACAGCAGCGGGTCTCGCGAGAGTTATAGCTGGAGAAGGAACACAGCATGTGATGGCCCCTCAGTGCAGGGACCAGGGCCGGTCCTGCAGGACAGGTAACGGGAACGGCGTTCCTGCTAGGGAAAAAGTGCAGGAACGCCGTTCCCATGCGTTCCTGCAGGACTCGAGCCCTGGTTATATGGCCGTACGGGATCCCTTCTTTAAAAAGAAAAAAAACCCTTTGGTACCAGAACTCTTAAATAAATCTGATACAAACTAAAATTGGTATACCTTACAATAATATGTTCTGAATACAGTTGTTAGAAGTTTATGCTGTGTGAATGGTGATTGTGATAAATGTGTGTTTTGTTTACTCATTTTAAAGTATGTAGTTTAATCGTCATGTATGTTAATGGGTATTTTGCTGTGTTATTTTAAGTTATATTTGAATATGTTTGTCTTAGTATTGATACAGATGAAAATGGCAGCGTAATAATCTATTAAATAACTGATTTATTATTGAATACTAGTCCAAGAGCAATATGAGTTGTAGTCTTAAGAAAGAGAAAAAAGGGAGTCAGTTTTTGTAAGTTTTAGCTGATTTCCAAAATTCTGCAATAATGGACTTCCTGCCAAAATTTGACTTTCCTGTCCAGTTGACTTTCACGCCCATATGCTCATTTTTCCCCCTCCCATCCTGCTATGAAAATGGGGTATAAATATAACGGACGTATGAATACAATTTGAATTGGTTATTGAACACGTCTCTGCTATTCATTTCCAATTTCCAGAGCTCTGTATGAGTTGGCAAATATCCATCATCCACAAAGGGCCAGGGCTGATTTTATCCCCAACATCCTTGGCAAGACAAACCTCTCCATGGGGTGTACCACCGGCAGATAGTGAATGTGTCTCACATGAAAAAATCCTACCAGTAGTTGGAAAAGGCAGGACTGAA